ACAGAATTATTTTTATATAATATTGGATCATATGTTCGAGTCTCAGCATGTCTTTTTTTACCACGATCACAATCATTATTATCACTTAATCCAAAGTACATGTCTACATCGGGAGGGTCAGGGGGTTTCTCACGGGGAGACCCCGTTTCGTCACCCATAACTGAGTGTATTGATCGAAATAACTATATCTTATAAACGTAATCTACTTACAACAGAGGAATCCACCACCACAAAATGAAGGTATTAAGGAAAATTAACCAAATACCGAAAAGCACTCACAAGTACGTGTTAACCATTCGACCGTACGCCATTTTTCATTTCCAATCTTGTTTCCCATCAACACTTTTAAGTGTACCAGCTCAAACGAACGAATCATTAATAATTGACACATGTCCAGCGGTTAACTATGACCATAGATTACTGTGTATATACTATAGAACTATGACATCGGGACGTCGAATACCTGAGTCCCCCATGCGTAGTACCCTCTATCCTCTCAATAGTCTGTGATCCCACCCATGGCGTAGATGGAGAAACCTATTTGTTTATGGAGTGTAGAAGTAAGGAGTACCAACTCCCATACTAGAACAGTTGAAAAAGCCATCTGTAAGCAGTAAATAACAGTTCAAAAACTATCAAAAACTCTCCACAACAGCGCTGGAGTAGTTACTGCGACGAAATTAACTTAGCAGTTGTCGACGGTTTGTGTGGTGCTAAACTGCTCAGTAGCTCTAAAATCTAAAATAATTTTATTTAGTAAATATAACTTAGAAAAAGTCGTCTATCCCACTAATATTTTTCGGTGCGTTCTGTAAAATTTACCTCGTAGTTATAGTAGTGCCACCCTTATTTAACGGTTTTTATGGACACTTTTTAATAGACAGTCTGTACTCCTTACTTCTACACTCCATACCTAGGTTTCTCTGTCTACGCCCCATGGCTTTATGCCCGTAGGAGTTTTAGCGGGAACTTGGCCGTAGACGGATTGTCGCTCCTGTTTTGTCACTTGAATAATGGTTTGAAGTGGATTTTGATTCGTAAAAGTGATGCGATTTTGTGAATTAAGTATCCGCGCGTGTAAACTAATAGAGAAAACGACGAAACAAGTGCTTTGATGTCGATATAAACCTCAAGTTATTTTGATCGCTTGGGCGCCTTATGAACTTGAGTGGCTGTTGTCATCAACTGTCCGCTAGGTTGAGCTGTCGTCAAAATCTCCCAAGGGCTTCGCAATGTGACGCATCAGCATATTATGAAGAAAAAGAACATAAAATGAAGATTCCCAAAGAAAGGATAGGCTCAGAAGGTCTAGAAACCAGAGCCGTAAAGCCAGTTAATAATAAATAACATGAAGGTTAGAGAACAGGAGAACGATCACCGTAGAAAATAGTGTCCAGAAATATGGACACCATAAGTGAGGCGCTGCGATCGCTCGAGTTTCGGTCAATAAAAGTCATTTTGAGTTTATTTTTCCGATCAGATGCTAAACCACTTGCACATCCACGTACAATAAAATTTTTCTCCATTTTTTAATGTTTCTTTTTGTCAAAAATTACAGAGCATAAAAATTTTCTCATTAAAAATGAAATGAAAAGTACATTATTCAACTAACTTCATCTACTTGTACTCATAAACAGCTAACTTCGCAGTTATTACTCACCGACGTCAACGCCACTATAAATTCTACAATTTTCAAGGACAGGCGGGCTATGCTTTAGTACTTAGTGATCGTTCTCCTGTTCTCTAACCTTTATGATAAATAATAATTTATGCCCGTGACATTCGGTAGAATTAATGGTGGTTAATGTAGCGCATAGCGCCATATTATAGCGCACTATCTCTTCATAACGCATAGCCCGTGCTATGTAAGTAGTCGCCATGATGCTATGACGCTATGACGCTTTGGCGCTATTCATATCAAGCGGCATAGTCTAGCAGCAGCGCTGTTGGGAGTAGACGTGTGACGCAAATTTAATCTAGCAGTACGTTATTCATCGCGCGAACTAATTTAGTGTTAGATGTTATTTAGTTAGTGTATACTGTATATTTATAAGTGATTGAAGGACACTGTTGTCTGCTACAAAAGAAGCTTAACTAATGTTTTTAAATGTAAATAAAATATAGATACAAAAGTGTATATAATAGTGTTTGTAAAGAGTTGATTTTTGTATATACAATTAATAAACTTTTAAATACACCTATGATTTATAATTTATAATAAGGTTAAAATAATGTTTACATCAATTATAATAAAAAATGATTAATTTTATTTTGTTTTAAAAAGTCCTTAAATATATTGTTGGGATTATAAAAAGTCTGCAAAGTAAGAAAGAGCGTTCTTTAATTTTTCTTTGACACTTTATTTTATTTTAATCTAAAATGCAACTTATTACGATACGACCAATGAACGACATGTAATGTAGCGTGTTCCGAGATACAGCGTGCTGCTAAACTTAACGCGCTTGCCGGCCTCCTACACACTTTTTTATAAATAGCGCGCTATAACGTAGCGTATTTAATAGTGTGTAATGTAAATTTCTAGTTTATAGTCTGTGTGCTATTGATTCATAGTCGTTTTGAACAACTTTAGGTTGAATCCACTATAGCCCGTTCACCGTAAGATGTCCCCTGCCTTGGGAAATGGCAGCATTGTCTACGGTGCTGCCAACAATATATGGAGCATTTACCCCACTTGGTGGTTGCTGGCAAAATTATCTAAACTTGAAAACCCCTGATTAATATGTTTTACTTGCTTATTTAAATAATATACAGTTAGTTATAAGACTAGTAAGGTTGTGAATGATAACACAATTTAATTTTTAAATTATTTATTGATTTATTTTTTCCGACAATAATTATGGTCGAAAGGAACAATTCCAAACATACTCGTATCACTGTCACTTTCATAAACGTCGTCATCATCATCTGTCGTATCCGAATCTGTGCTGCTGTCATTTCCTAATTCAATTATGAATTTATCAGTAATATCATCCATACAGCCATCAAGTACATAAAACTTGTCTTCTAAATTTTTTACGTGTTCACACTGCTTTTGCCAATCCTGAAGGGTTATAGATGAAAAAGCTTCTTCAGTTAACTTCACGATATTTCCAGCTTCTTGGCCGACATTATTGCTGGCTACTCGTCTCTTTAAAGGACTCCACATAAACTCAATCGCATTTAAATCGCAGTGGTAAGGGGGCAACCTAACCACTTTATGGCCATGAGAAAGCAATAATTGGTCAGCCTCATAAATCGGCGCTTCTTTGTGCTCTTTTATAATTTCATAAAGTTCTGCTTTCAGCATTGTTGGTATATAAGACAATCCCTTATTTGTTATCCAATTTTGCATTTGAAGTTTTGAGGAACTCATAGTAGGTGCTTTATTTACTTGTACGGTATGATAGCGAGCGTTATCCATCACGACTAAGGAGTTCGGAGGCAAATTGGGTATAAGTTTCTCTGAAAGCCATTTTATAAAATTGGTTCTGTTCATGTCGTCATGGTAGTCCCCTGATTTACTATGTGATTTTAAAATCAATTGAGCATTAGGAATAAACCCTATTTCTCCACCTGCATTAATAATTATCCACCGCGTTCCAACAGAATCACTTATTAGTACTCCGTCCTCGTCATCTTTTTGCCAACATTTTTTCACTGCATACGATGCGTGAATGTATGTTTCATCTAAGAAAACTATTGGCCGACCATCTGCTCGATTTTGCCTCATAGTAACGATATACTTGCGTCTCCATGCAACTATGTCGTGCCTTTCCATTAAAATTTTCCGTTTCGAACCACACTTTTTATGTTGAAATCCAATTTGTTTTAAAATTTTCCACAAAGTCGTTCAACCTCCACCAAAGTTTGTCATTCTTTAATTCTACAAGTATTTTATTTAAAGTAGGAACAACTTTTCTTACAGTATACATTTCATGGATTTTGTTTCTTATTGCGCTTAAATCGAAATCATCAAGATCCACCGTTTTACGTCTTTGACGGTGTTTTCCAGGAGATTTAAGTTTTTGAGATATAGAGGCAGCAGCTTCACCTTCTTTAGATATTCTACTCACGGTTTTCTCCGACATGCCTGAAATAGACACCAAATTTGTATCATTTTATAAAATAAATATTTATAAGATACAAATACAGACATTATCATAAAAAAAATTAAATTAACTGAGATACGTACTTTTTTATTTTAATTCGTAATGTTAGTAATTTCTTATTATTACCTATCTAAAGGCATTTTGCATGAAGCTGACATCCCTATTTTACCAACCTGTCATGGCGGCGTCGCGAGTTCGCATTTGATTGAGTGGAATTAACGGGGCTTGGTTTGCCTTTTCTCTCTCACAAAAGGCACGCACCTTCAACACAACCTCTCTTGCACTGCTTCTAAATGGTTTCGGCATAATTAATTCGGAATATTTTAAATAATAACACAAAAACGAGCGTTATAATCACAAACTGACAAAATTGACAAGCAATAGTGCCAACATCACAGCAGGGGACATCTTACGGTGAACGGGCTATAGTTAGTCTGTGCTTTCTGTATATATTACTCTACTCTATGGTCTTTGCCCGTGACCATGGGTGCTGTAAAGTGTTCGAAACGTCGAGAATATAAAAAAGTTAATATACGCGATAAAATCCGTAAAGGCTAGTTTAATTTAAATGTGTAGTGTTCGCGTAAATATAAGAAATCATTATGAAGAAAAGCTGTATGTCTCGTAATTCCTAAGGGAGATTCTAAGTTTTGTCGGGAATCTGGAGATCATTTAAAATGTCAGGAGAATCCAGACGAATCCCGCTCATCTGGCAACCCTAGTTGCACCAGCCTCCTGCCTGGTTTATATAGTTTGTACTTTGTACTTTATATAGGTACCTACCTACCCTAGTATATATCACTGTGGTATATATTCAGTAATCTATGTACCTACCTGTTAAATCAAAACATGTTTCAGAATTTATTATTATTTACACTCGGATCGGCAATATTGATTAACTGCGAAGGAAATACGACTTTCGCACAAGGTTTTTTTTTCAGTTCCCTAAAATCTTGTTTGTTTTACGGTATTGTAAAAATTTTAATATTTTATGGAAATAACGGATAAAATCCGTAAAAACGAGTATTATTTAAATCTGTTTTAGATTTTAGAAAACTGCTTTTGTACCATAATACGACTTTTTCAGATGAGTTTAAATGTTCATTACCTGATGTCACCAGTACAGATGATAATTTGGATATCACTCGATTTAGATCTGATTTTTCCAAAATATCTGAGGTATTTTATTCTACTTGATATGTTAGAATATTATTTTAGTAAAAGTGAGTTGTGATATGAATATATTCCAGTTGTAATGCATTTCAGGTAAAATTTCCTGGACTAATTGGTCCATTAAATGAAAGATTAATATGTAAGATTAAGTGCATTGATGGAAATTGGGTTGGTCCTTTGTGCTCATCTACACCAGGTAGTTTACCATAAATCGGTTGTTTTATAATGGAATGTGTGTGCAGAAGAATCTATTTACATAGAATATTTTTTGGATTTTTTGTAGATGGCAGATTCCAGCCTATCCTGCGAGAATGTTTTTATCGTAATGATTATCCATTACTGTCAATTTCATTCAAAAACTCTTCCATAGATGTAAGTAATGTTACATTTTATTACAGAATGATATATAATTGTTAATAATACAAATAATGATGTACCATTATTGCAGTTTTTGAAAATATGTGTAAATAAGGCTTCCTCTTTTATTTGAAATGATCCTAAATTGAATTTGTTTTATGGCAACAGTTTTGTGTGCTGTGTTTCGCAACGGTTTTGCCAACTGAGGGACCCTTACGAATATGTGTAATACTTTATCATGCATTCTGAATTTAAAAGATAAAAAGGACAAAATGTTAAAGTTATTTTAAATTAATTTTTCTTGACCATATGCCTATTTACACATGCGACATTACTTATTTTAAACCTTCTTCGCAAATTTGGTTGACCACTGCGAAATAACACTGTAGATATATTGAATTTACTTTAAAATTAAGTTTATTAATATTTACTAGTGGACCTACTCTTAAACAGATTTCTGTTCAGTTTTGATATATATCCCGTTTGACATCACAAGGCTCCCAACATTTTTTTTAACACTCTCAGCACCAGTGTATCATTTTTGTACATGAGGATGAGCAAAATTGATACACTGGCACTGAGAGCATTAAAATATATATATATATATATATTATAATTGTATATATATATATATATATATATATATATATATATATATATATATATATATATATATATATATATATATATGTATATATATATGTATATTACGTATATATTTCCATAAATAATTTTACATTTTATCACCCTTTTCTATTTTGATTATTTCTGTCTATCTCTGTTTAGCCTAATGGTTGACTAAGAGAGAATGCCCCATAGTTTACGACAGACTGTTTTCAACAGTCCTTTAATGTTGTAAGCAACTTTGGGGAGAGATCCCAGCATGCCGAGATGTTTAACTCTGTATGCAGCGACTTCCAGACATGTCAGCAATACGTGAGCCATCATTTCTTTCTTCCTGCGCAGGGGGCTATCTGTAACACCTATGGTAAATAATTGTTTGTTAAAGGAGACATGTCCTGTGATAACACTTGCTACTATCCTGATCTGTGGCTTGTTCTGTCCCATTAGAACCTTAGTTAGACGACTGTTTATTTCAGGCAGGGCCTCCCTAGCTTGTCTACAGTCTACTAGATTTTTTCAAAGCTGAGCATGTAGATAATTGAAGTTTCTACATACCGGTGAACGAAAGTAACCAAAGAGGATTGGTATTATTGGGTCCAACCCTATAGTGGCCAGTGCCGATCCCCTTTTGGCCAGTTCATCTGCTGCATCATTGCCTCTGGATCCACTGTGTCCCTTAGTCCGTTGCAGTCGCATTGTTGCACTTACATACCTCATTTAATTGTTAATGGCAGTCATATATTTGTCCTGAGTTCACCATATTACAACTCAGAGCTTGTGGTACCGCCATACTGTCAGTGAGTATTCTGATGGAGAAGTCTTTTACCTTCCTAACATCTATATAGAGATACTTTATAATCAGCAGCTCATTACCTGGTATCTCATTGCAATCTCACATTTCTGTATTTAATCTTAAAAGTTCACAGAGTATTGTCTTCAAACAACTCAGATGAAATGTGTCGAAATCTTGATATCTACCTTGTAGCACCAGCTCTTCACGGCTTAATATACCATAATATTAGTCGCAACCTAAGGTCTTGTGATCTCCAAACACAGATATATAGCTTGGCTACAACTATAGCTGCATTAGCTGTATGGGAATGTATTTGAGATACAAGGCTGTTGTAATTTTTGTTTTATTTAGTACTTTAAATACAACACTTGGTCTAAAACACTTCTTGGTTTCAAACAAATCTTGATGGTGGAGTGTTCCACTATGCAGTCCCTATAGGGCTATTTAGGAAGCCTTCTTTCATATTAGTTATAATGTTACGATTTTATGTCAATAAATATCTAAGAGTTAATTATTCATGGTTTCCTACAGAAAGAGACTTACTTCCCTCATGGTTCATTAGTTGTATCAAAATGTAAACACTTTGGATTATATAAATTAAAAGGTGAAAGCCAAGTGAGATGCGAAAATGGTGAATGGAGCCCAAAATTTCCTGAATGTGTGCCAACCTCACTTATTACAAATTTTACAGGTAATAATTCTTTTTTGATAAACACAATTTAATTATGTGCAAATACTTAGTATGCACTTAGTAATATACTGAACACTTTAACATTTAATGTACTTGTAGAAGGTAACCAATAAGCCTATTTAAATCACAAATGTAAGATTTGTACCTTACAAATTAAGTGTTTGTTTTCGTACGTTATTGGACCCTGAATAGTTTATTTGTTATTTCGAAGGCATGCTTGCTTTTCCCCACAGTTTATTCCACCATGGGTGTATGATAAATAACATTTTAATTTATTTGGATTTAGTGGATATAACTCTAGCTGCAAAATAATTGCGACTTTTTTAAAGAGTTGAATTGTTAGGATATTGAAATAGCTCACAGGCTGTAACTATACTCACTCTAATTTTCTTCAAACAGCATACATTAGTGGTGAAACTGCTGGTTAGGGACATAACAGCTTAGAGGGTTTGTCGGATGAACAACAGTAATGAAGGCATTATTAATAATTTCTTAGTATTACTGCTATGTAAAAGCTATTATTATAAAGAGCCGTGGTAGCTCAGACGGTTAACTCTCGCTGTAAATATAACAGAACACGAGTAACCCGGGTTCGATTCCCGCCGGCACCAATGAGATTATTAATAGCAATTTTAAGTGCTGATTTACCACGTGCTCGGCAGTGAAGGAAAACATCGTGAGGAAACCTGCATGTCTCAGGAATAAGAAAGAAAATATTTCGAAGACGTGAAATTCGCCAACACGCATTGGGGCAGCGCGGCGGACACTTCCTTTCCCTAAAACCTCCTCAGAAATGAGGGGAGGTATGTGCCTAGCAGTGGGACGTATATAGGCTGTAACTTTACTTTTACTTTACTTTAAAAGCTATTATTAATGTTGTCTATTTCAGGCGATGCACCACCATCCATTCAATATGTTGTTGTAAGGGGTTCAGCAGTAGTGGAACCTTCAGGAGAATTGTTTGTGTATCCTGAAAGTACACTGTGGCTAGATTGCATTGTGCTATGTGTATTGGGAGAACCTGAATGGAGTTGGACGCAAGCTCTAGGGCAGCACAGTGCTGGTAAGTGGATCAAATTATTGTGTTAAATGTTTTGTATTTCGTGAGAAAGAGTAATTAGAACAAGACCACCTTTAACAACACCACTTTGTCTTATCTTTTCATAAAGTAACCGGCCTACAAATTTAAGTGCCTCCACTCATATTTGAGTAGAGACTAGAACAGGATATGTTGGGTTCCCATCTTCTTCATTACCTGTTGGAAAAGTACATAATATTTATATTTTATTTCTCTATAATTGTATAAGATATAGCTCATACTATATGTCCAATATTGGGCAATAGCAGTGTTTTGATCGATTATACCCGAAATACCTTAAAAGCGTAGGGCTGGAACCTGTAATTTCAGTCCCCTTTGGCTATGTTCATTCACTGTTACGTAGATACTTCAATAATTTACATGCTCAGCTTAGGAAAAATTTAGTAGACTGTAGACAATCTAGGGAAGCCCTGCCTGAAATAAACAGTCATCTAACCAAGGTTCTAATGAGACTGAACAAGCCACAGATCAAGATAGTAACAAGTGCTATCACAGGACATGGCTCTTTTAACAAACATTTGTTTACCATAGTACAATATTGATAGCCTTCCTCTGGGATGCATGGGAGAGGAAGAAACGGCGGCTCACGTGTTGCTGACATGTCCAGAAGTCGCTTCATACATGGCTAAACATCGCGGCACGCTGGGATCGCTCCCGAAGTTGCTTGCAACAACAACTTCGGGGAGATATCATGGCTCGAATAATCACATTATTCCTGCCCACACGCAAAATACGCGCTTAGACGTGCAGTTGCGGAAAACAGCCCGTCGTAAACTAAACTAATGACCTCAAAAGCTGCTTGTCATCTATAATTCAGACATTTCGGGCCTAGTGTTTTTGAGATGATAGTGGTCTGCCTTCTGCCACTGTCACTCAGTCGCCTTTTACGACACCCACAGTATGATATGGACTAGTGAATAATTTTAAATCACCACTACATGGTAATGGTTTGTGTAGAATAAACTACTAATTCTTTAATTTAAAAACGATACCTGACAAGCTATCAGACCAATTAAGACTATTAAGATTACCAACAATTGATTCATTATTACACATTTGAAGATAATTTACAGTAGTCTTACATCTAAATGTACAATCACTTAAAGGTATTCACATTATGCTATTAATATCTTTATTCATTCTTATATTATATGGGTTAAATCACAAGTATTTACTTTTGTTTCAGAAATAAATCAGTGATTTCATTTAATATATGTATCATTTTTAATTTACACTATACAAATCTGTAGCACTTATTAATTAAAGTATGTTAACATAACATTACTATGAATTTTTAATTTCAGCATGGGCTAAAAACGATGGCGAGAAAGAGACACATTATCGACTCACCTTAACCAAAATGTCTGCGCGTCACAGCGACCAATATACATGCACATCGCCTGGTGGACACACAAACACCATAACTATTAAAGTTGTTAGTGAGTCTTCTTAATTTAATTTTTTTATAGCGTTGGGTGACAAACGAGCACACAGTCTACCTGATGGTAAGTGGATGCTGTGACCCACAAACGTCCACATTTATCCTCCATTAAGGAATAAAATACAAATCCGTTGTCACCCCTGAGGGACTAATATGGAATGCCTTAATTCCAGTAAAAAGGGTCATTAACAATTTGTATAAGATTATTTCTCAACATTAGCCTTTCCTTTTGTTAGTGTAAGATATCCATTGCATCATTACAACCTATAAAATTCACTGCTAAACTAAGGTCCTTCCCAAAGATTGCCTCATAGGATAGGAGGATTTTACCATGATGTCACGCTTGGCAGGCAGTTTGGTATCTGCAGTTTTTTACAGTATAATTTTTTTCGGCACCAAACAAGAGGTTCTATACACTATCTTTACATTGAGGTAAAGAATTTTTCAGTATGGAGCTGTCTATACTAGGTATTTCTCTGTTATCAATGGTTTCATATGTTAACACCTCACCGTATTTTTATCCCCCCCCCCCCCCTCTCCCGTTACCCATGGGTGCTGTGAAGTTCTCGAATGAGAATAAAAATTAAATCAGCGCTTAACGAAAACGCTACTGCGTTGTCAAGCGATGTTTTTTCACGCAACACTTGATATGTGCATTTTTGTAATTGTGTAAATAAATAATCTTAATTTGTAAGGAAATAGTATTATTGATAATCTAAAAGTTATTGTATAAAGGTATTTATAGAATAATATTTTGAATAGTTATAAGTAGGTAGTTATCATAAGTCAAGTTTTTCGTTTATTTAGTTATTGTAAAAAGAACATGGGTCAAATATGACCTGACCAAAATATGAAACGACCACCAATGAATTATGTGTATATCAAAATACGGGGTCTAATTTGTTTTATTGAAGCCGGTGAAATTAATTAGCTTTGTAATAAAAATCTCATTTCCTTACTAATATTTATAGGTTTTGAAAGCATCTAAATCCGTCCCGTTTTTGTCTGTGGTACACAATTCATCATAACATTAAAGTAACATCACCATTATGCATTTACTTTTTTTTAATAAGTACTAGAATTTACGGTAGATTTTTGATTTATTTTTGTACCTAGTTTATTTTCAATTACATCCTTTTTAGATGGGGATATGAATTAGGTAAGTACTCCAAATTGAGTTGCAAATGATACATTGACAAGAATAAACCAGGGCTGGACTTCCACTTGATGATAAGTGATGTCTTAGATTAGATGATAAATAGCACTATCTTAGCACAAAAACCTATTTACTCTTGCCTTGAAGACACCTGTAATGTAATCGGTCAGAAAGATGTGCATATTATTATTATTTCTTAATTAAAGCTCCTCTGATAGAACTTAATTGTCTTTTATAACATTTTTAGGTGTAGTATGTCCACCCATAAATGTGTCGTCGCCGCGAATCCGATTGTTCGCACAAGGCTGGAGGCTCGGCCACTCGGTTCACTTCAGTTGTCAGCCTGGCTTTCACCTAAATGGCTCTGCTGTACTCAACTGCATGGGAAATGGTAAGACGTGTATTACAATGTTTTCTATAAATATTATTAATGTTACAAGTTTTTATGGCTCGGGTTCGAATACTGCACAAAACGGGTGTTTATATTAGAGATGGGCCGAACATGATTTCACCGAATACGAATATTCGGCTAAAAGTTCGGTAAAACCTTTACCGAACCGTATATTCGGCGGAACATTAATCGGCAGGATCACTTCGGTTCCTAACCAATTTATGTTGAAACTTGTCACCGTAGAGCGCTCGGGATTAGCGCCGGACCCTGCCTCTCGGTCCCCCGCCACACCTGACATGTTATAGCACCATCTAGTACTGAGCAAATTGCCGGCACATGCTTATTTTGACTATTTATGTGAGAAAGAAAGTATTTCGTTGTGTTATCTTAGTGAAAATTGATGATTATAATATGATAAAAATAAGTGGCAGGAGATCTACCATTTGGACTTATTTTAGAGAAACTAAGGACCAAAATAAAGTGAAATGTACTAATGTAATGTAATGTTTCTTTGTTTGATTCCAAAAACATTTTACCAAGCTTTCTTGCTATGATTGGAAATAAATCTACAGTGCATCAAAACATAACGCTATACAAGTAGATTTAACCCATAAATAAAATATACTTTCAACAGTAAAATTATGAAAGACATGGCATTACTCAATTCGTACATTTCAATACAGTGGACACTGAGTACCACATTAACGAATATTCGGCCCATCTCAAGTTTGTATGGCCTACACTCTTAATCCTGTTTTGGATGTTAAATTCTAGTGTGAGGACAATGTTTTATAAAACAAAAAAGGGAGTCTGTTTTCATTTTAACAACACGAAACTTTGGACATTCGAACGTGTTTTGTACCATACTTGTTCCACTTTTCACTTACGTTTTTGGTGGCATACGTCCCATGGGTGTCGTAATATATAGTGGTCACTATAGGAAATGCCAAAAAACGTTCAAAAGTGTTACAAAACTTTCGTTTAAGCCAGTCGTCCAATATACAGATTGGCGACGGAGAGCATCGTCAAGGTGTAATGCGATCGTTAGTCTTGCGGACAAGCATGAGGATCACAAAAACTCCTCCCTACAATGTGAGAGAGAGAGAGATGGATATTCAGTAATGAACTTTTACTGAAAGGTGCTTAGATTTTTTTTAAATATTCTATTAATAGAAGAGGGGGCAAATGAGCATGCTTCTCACCTGATGGTAAGTGACATCAGCTGTTTTAAAACAGAGTACGCTCTTCAGAGGTCCCTAAGTAGTATCGGTCGTGGAAAAACGATGGTGGTAGTAGATTCCAAAAGGAAGTTGTGCGAGGAAGAAAACATCACTGAATTCATGCTTTGTCTATTCGATGGAGGAATGTCGTAAATACTGTATGTTTTTTTAATTAGTAAAAGTAATGTTCACTTATGTGTTTTGCAGGGACTTAAGCAACAAGCCAATAATAATGTCCTCCAGACCGAATTTCGGTCACGGCGGCCAGCCTCAACGAAGACCAGCCATCGGCGCAGGACAGGATTATAGTGCCCAAGTGTATGCGCAAGCAAGGGTGCACTCTCTGTTCCCTCACTCTCATAATCCGATGGGACGGTAAACCGACACGACCGGAGAGAGATCGGGCGCAGGACTAACGGTTTACGTGCTTCCCGAGGAACGGAAACACCGCCAACTTCCTGACTCCGGGCAGCTACTGAGAATTTCTTGACGGAAAAACTCAATAATAAATTTTTTGGCCCGACCCGGGATTCGAAACCACGACCTCCGCACTACTACAACCACTAGCCCAACGAGGCAGTCAAAACCACTCAATATACATAATATGTACAGTCCATGATTTTAAATAAAACTTTTTGTTATTAGGCAAATGGTCTTCATTGCCTCCAACTTGTGTGGAAACCTTCTGTCCTATGCTGAGGACCTTAGGAGCCCACTTGAGCTTGGTGGAATACAATTCATCATATGGCGGTCGTGCTATGTTCCAATGCGCTTGGGGCTATAGGCTGGTGGGGCCACCAGGGTTGGAGTGTGAACTAGACGGCCGCTGGTCAGGAGATATACCACGTTGCATACGTAAGACAAATTTTATTTTCTGTTTGGACATGACAGACCTTATTGTAATAGATCTGATGTTTGTAAACTAAAATAGGAAACAACCTGTATATGCGAACTCGAACTTACTTTTAAGTTAAGTCCAGTCGCGGCGCAGAAAGAATTTCGTACAATGACCTCTTTGCCTACTGACAGTGGTCACAAACATTTTTGTTTTATCTGTGGTGTATATGAAAAATTTGAAGGAGAAAAAAAATTACTAACTTATTAAATAAATTATTGTTACCATATAAATTATTTATTTTGATTTTAGTATTTAAACAGTTATAAAAATCAAGTTACAATTATTAATTTGGCAGTAATAAAAAAATTTAAATTCAAAAATCAGAATACGATTTTTCTGTATCGGAGTTTCTGCTTCCTGACGACGTCTCGCTGGATCCATTTTAACAGTGAAGAAAATTTAACGAAATAACAAAACTACTTAACAATTAAAACAAGATAACAAAAACTAACAAAGAATAGATAACTGAGACAATTGTGTCCGAAAACTGAGCAATCACTAACGGATCCCAAGAGGGAATGTTGTACGTTCGAAATTATTATATGTCAAGCAGCCAAGGATTTTTGTTGGTGACTCAAGACCAACCAAAAACCACTTGCGATCAAGAACAAACCTTACAGTCTGAGGACGGCGGCCATTGCATCTGTACGAGCGAGACGCATTATATTTACGCAGGAGTGACATAGACAGGTAATAACAGGTTAAAAGTACGAAATTCTTCTTCGCGTCCGGACTTTTAGTAGATTTTTTTTCTATTGATTTGATTACAATGTAACTATCTATATTTAAAATGATATTTTACAGTATAAAGTTATGTACTATAATACCTATCTACTTTTTTCCACTTTTCACTTCATCCAGGGAATGGGATTGATAACATTACACTCTTTCGCCGCCACCAATTTCCATGTATCTCAATACCTACATGTAACTTACTACCGCACAAAGGCCTGTAAATTTTAAAGGCTGGTCTGCTGCAACCTATCTCTTCTTGAAATGGCAATAGACCCTGTGTTTGGGGAGTGATATGCCAAAGGGAACTGCCAAAGCTCCCTTGGCTGATCACTTTCCCCGACGTAAGATCTCCCCTTTTCCTTCCACCGCCAAAGTTATACAGAGTTATTTTGCAATGAATGGCCAAATTTGCAGAGAAGGTTCAGAATAAGTGTTATAGGCAAATGGTAAAGAAAATTAATTTAAAACAAATCTCAAACAAGCTGCCCTCTTTATCTTTTTTTCTTAAATTCAAAATGTGTGGTAATGCATTATGTTAATTGATTTTACTGCGTACGCACACATTCGTAAGGGTCGATTGGTAGGCAAAAATGTTGTTGCCCATAGATCACATTCAATTTGAGATAATTTCAAATAAAAGTAGATACTTTATTTACTCGTATTTTCTAAAACTGCAATAACGGTATATCATTATTTGTATATAAGTTTAAAATTTGGCTACTGTATAAACATTTAATAAACATTAAGTTAGTAATAATGTTGTCATACTATGTTATTTTAGTGCATTATACTGATTAAATTATTTGTTTTTTTCTTGCAGCCATTTATTGTCCTAATCCAATAGTACCAGAAAATGCCCGACTACTCACACAAGTCTCCGCAAAGAATGGGAAGTATGCAGTAGGTGACTTGATCTTTTATGGTTGTGACGATGGATATCAAGTTTTAGGTGAATCTTCGATTGTGTGCACAGAAAATGGTTACTGGTCTCATCCGCCACCATTTTGTCTTCCTCCTTCAGAAATAAGGAAAGCAGATACTATCTATATAGAAAATACAACATTCGTTCATTTTGAAGACTAAATTCAATTTATTGTTTTATTTGTGATTTATTAGTGAAGATTTGTTATTTTTTCCATTTTTAATGCGTTACGGGTTGTTGCGTCAAAAATGGCATATACTGTTTGGCAGCGTATTCCGAATAGCTCAATATATAGTGTAAAGAATGATGCAAAGTTAGAGTCGACAATATGCTATATCAGTTAAATCTCATATTTGTTTCGTAATACAAGAATAGTGTTTTACGTTATAGTGAGGACATCTGTAATTCTAGCACGAAATTCGCTCCTACGTTGGCAAGTAGGACTGTCTCGCAGCTGACTCGCCTCTCGTACATTCTCATGATCTTAAATGTTTGGCACTGTATTATACAAAATGTTTATTTTTTTTGTGTAAGCACATTTCACTGCTGAGTCTGTCATCAACGCTGTTAAAAATGTTTATTAATTCGTTATAGATCAATTTACACGTTTTATGGAATAAAGTTTAGCTAAATAACGTCAGATCAATAATTTAAGTGGTAAAAGAATATATTCAGTCAGTTTTAAATTTAGTTAAGGTTACGTTAATGATCTAATAATATTGTTTATAATTTATTATTGTAGCACATAGAAATTCTGTAAACATATCAGTATTTTTAAGTTGTATTATTGTGGTATTATTAATTTCTAGTTTTTTTAAACCTATTTGATTGTAATTGTAAAGAAAATTAAGTTGAAAAATTTACACCGTGTAAAAAAATCGCTGCCCCATTAAAAGGTTGTAAAAGGGATCACAGTTTGATTCAATACAATATTTTGTAACAATAACCCTATTCGATCCAAAAGGGGAGCATGGCATAGGAACCGCAATGTTATTTAAAAAATGTAAAAAAAATCGTAATATTAATGAATATAAAAATGTTATTGTTAATTAAAAACCAGTCTTTTATTTACAACTAGCCGTGCCCGCGACTTCGTTCGCGTGAAATCAGTACTTTTGCTATTCTAAGTGATGATGATTTATTTGTAAATTAAACTGCCGCGAAGACTTAGAAAGACACTAATCCGAATAAAAACATTCAGTTAGACCGTCAATCAGACAAACAATCGAATGAACAAATAAACGAACTAACAAACGAATAGGGAAAACTGTTCGCTTGTGTTTTATTTTGTAAATAAACAACAAAATGACAGCAATATCGTAATCCCTAATTGTCTCCCGAATTTCTCTAGCCAATACTTACTCTAGTTAATACTTTCCTTACAACAAATAAGAAATTGACAGTAATAAGCAAGCACCATTACTAATAATTGATATTAAATAAAAAATTTGAACCGAAAACTACAATCCAATGCCTACCTAAAACTAAATATATATACTTTGACTCATCCTGCAAACAAATGAAAATAAAACTAAACTTAACCAAGGAAAGTTTTTTGACCTTTAAGTAATAGGTGTCAGCCCGGAGTCAAGAGTTTAGCAGTGTTTCATCCCTATGCCTCAGAAAGCACAAAAAGCCGTTTTATCTGTATCTGATCTCAATATATTTTTGCCGGATTACTAACTCGGACACATTGATAAATAGGCAATTTTTAATATTTTGTATATAATGATTAATAGGGCCAGATTTTTGTAAGTTCTCCGATAGGTATTATTCATAATTATCATTATTTTGTTTTACTTATTTCACCACCGCCATGCTATAAAAATCATTTATTCCGCGCAAACCACGTATTTTAACACTAAGGTGAGCTAGTAGGAAAATTAAAAAAAACTCATTTCATTATTTTAATCCTGAAATATTCGTACTATTTTTAACGTTACAAAAAACCTTTTAATAATTTTTCCCCTTATAAATATGAAATCACCCCATAGAAAACATTCCTTAAACTTTATTTTACTATCTAACGATTTGAATTTTTAATCATTATTTCTTACTGGATGCCTACTTAATAAAAGAAAGTTATTGTTCCAGTTTCACGCGTCTACATCCAGCGGTTTGAGTTGTAGATTTAATTCAAAAATTTTCATACAAAATATGAACCCTTGTTTTAACCCTTTCCGGCTTGGCGCACACCACGTGGAATGCACATATAAGCACACTACTCAAGTCGTACGTCATATTAGATTTGATACCTATATGTTCAGTTTCGTAGACAAGATACACAGTAAAGTGTACGTTATGTATGTGTAATGTAATATAATAATGATAAATATGTACTAGTTTTTTTTAATTAAAAATCCGCTCACTCTTGACTTCCATCTGGCCCGGGCGCAAAGATGAGGTCTACGATGGAGCGAGTTTTCCCGGGAGAAGCCTGTTAACACGCATATTGAAAAGGTCCAGGTTATAGGTACTCTGAAAAACAGGCGCAGCCAGGGCATGCCACTTGTTGGCTATGCGCATTATAAAAGATGATTTATAGCGCTTAGTGCGAATATTCGGAATGTCAACCAATAGATCAAGAAAAGAAAAAGAAGACAGTCACCGCAATACAAGATTATCAATATTATCAAATTACATGAATTACCCTGTGGTCACGCCTTACGTGAAAATGTACGAAAACTCATCACTGCTTATTACAAATTTTACTATAATTTATTGATCATGGAGTGATTTTGGAGGCTTTTAAATAATAATTTAAACGCATTTTTGACACGGGCCACCGTCGGACCATAGGGGAGTAACCATAACGTTTTTCCCGATGCGATATATAACTGTGTCAAGGCGGGGTGAAATCTACGCACACAAAAAAAATCGTATGTCGCTACAAATCTACATTATACACAATAAAATTTCCTAAACACATTTATATATTATAACACTATCGCTTGGTAACAGCGATAATTTAACTCGTATACAGATTCAAATTGTACAAAGGCAAGCCTGTATTGTTCCAAAAACACATTATCGTAATCCAAAAATACATTATCGTATTATTGTAATTTTTAAATTTAAAAAGAAGTAAATAGTAATAATATGCTTAAAAATTACTTATATATGAAAGATACCGCATATTTTTGTAAATTTGATGTAGCAGATCTCTTTACAGCAAAAACATTGAACAACTAGGCATTTTTGTAGGACGTCGATTCAGCCGCGCAACTAGTTTCATTGTGCGGCTTCAACTACATAGTTTCATTGTACGCAGGACCACGTGGACTTGTACATTGACAGAGGGAAACACCTGTGTATGGCTACTCTCCTCCGGTCCGTCCATGAAGGTTAGAGAACAGGACAACGATCACTACGTACTGTTACGAGCTTGAGGTTCGTGACAATAAAAATTGCCGATAAAATTACCTAAATTAACACTTTAATTTTCTTTACACAAATTAAAACTTAAAACACTAACAATTAATCACACTGAATCACTTTATTCCGCTCCGAAGCTTCGCTTGTCTCGCCAAATTCAATACTTCCCCGATCGCGTATAGCAGCGCCTTTATATAGGGCTCTTCCACGAAAACATCCAGAATATTCGAGTAAATACGCGCGCCAACCGACCAAGCGCAGAAAGTTCGAGTGTGGGGCTTCCAGAAAGCTTAATTCTTCAATTCGATACTAGATGGCGCTGTCAGTTGAAAGACTATTCATGTATTTTCTGGAAAGCTCCCCTCGCTCTCGTCCCCGACAATAGATGGCGCTAGTGCCGGGTACATGACGTCAACTTAGGCGCGTAACAGTACTAAAGCATAGCCCGCCTGTGTCCTTGAAAATTGTAGAATGTATAGCGGCGCTGACGTCGGTGAGTAGTGACTGCGAAGTTAGCTGTTTATGAGTACAAGTAGGTGAAGTTAGTTGAATATTGTACAAATTTTCATTTCATTTTTTCGTAGAAAATTTTCATGCTCCGTAATATTGTAATTTTTGACAAAAAGAAACATTAAAAAATGGAGAAATATTTTATAGTGCGTGGATGTGCAAGTGGTTGAGCATCTGATCGGCAAAATAGACTGAAAATTACTTTTATTGACGGCACTTAGTGATCGCAGCGCCTCACTGATGGTGTCCATATTTCTGGGACACTATTTTCTACGGCGATCGTTCTCCTGTTCTCTAACCTTCATGGGTCCGTCGGTCGTCCGTGTTGCTCTATGTTTAGATACTAAATAAAACAATTTTTATGAAATATATGTCCTACTTGTATTCCAAAAAAAATAATATATTGTAAATAACATAATTAAGAATTAAAATTGTGCATACATTTATATTTTTTTTTTTAGAAATGTTTCTAAACTAGTTCTATTCTTTGTTCTTTTTATAAATAATGGCAACTTCCTTTACAAGCTGCCTTACTCCCTCTTCTCATAACTGAGTTGTAAGTTTACCCAATGTTCCATTATCGTTATTGCGCACCCAGTCGAGAAGAATCTTGTAACGAACCTGGAAAGAAATATATCTAGTTACACTTTGATTAAGTCACAGGTAAAAGCTAGAATATATTGCAATGTGTAATCATAATTTCAGTAGTTTTCTGTTGGTAAAACTAAATTAAGCTTTATATACAAGTTCCAAAAATGATAAACCGCCACGTCTTTTAACAAAGAGTTAATTTTGTTGCGCGCTATAATTAATGCCTGGTACATGGCGGGTGATTATTAGCGCCATTTAGTATCAAGTAGTAGAAATAGGAGCGTCAAGATCTTTTTAAAATTCAGTAGCGCCATGTAGCATGGAGTAGCATAACTAGGAGAGCTTTCTAGAAAAAGAACTTTCGACATTCTACTCGCACATTATAGATGTTTTCAGTGGAAAAGGCCTATAAAAGGCCAGTAAGGACCGCGACAGGGGCAGTATTGAATTGGCGATACAAAAGTAGACTTCGGAGCGATATAAAGTGAACTCAAGTGTTAAGTGTGATTAATTATTATTATTGTTTTTAAGTTTTAATTGGTGTTCGGTAATTAAAGTGTCAATTTTGGTAATTCTATTGGCAATTTTTATTGACACGAACCCTAAGCTCTTTACAATTCGTGTCAGAAGTGGGATAAAATCATGCCGATTTTACCTAAGGACGAAACGGAGGGTGTCCGTACCC